TCTTCCACTCATCTCCCTCCCTAATGCGCACCAGGTTGTACGCGCTCCTGAGATCCAATTTTGTGAAGAATCGCGCCCCGTGCAATGACTCCGTCATACTAGCAATCAGAGGGAGAGGATAGCTGTATTTGATTGTGATCTGATTGAGACCACGGTAATCAATACACGGGCGTAAACCCCCATCCTTCTTCTTCACAAAAAAGAAACTCGAGGACGCAGGGGAAGTGGACGGCCGTATGTTTCCCTGTCTCAGAGATTCGGTGACGTATGTCTCCATAGCCGCCGTCTCCTCCTGAGACAAGGATACACATGACTACGCGGAAGCGCAGCGCCTACTTGGAGGTCTATCGCACAATACCCCTGTCGATGAGGTGGTAATTGAGTCGCCTTCTTTTTACAGAAGGCGAGTGCCAAATCGGCATACTCAGGTGGAATGTGCATGGTGGGAACTTGGTTCGGGCTTTCCACCGTCGTTGCCCCTACGGAAACACCTACACACCGCCCGAAACACTGATCAGACCATCCCTTGAGAGCCCTCTGTTGCCATTAAATGTTGGGGTCATGAGATGTTAACCAGGGAAGCCCCAACACCACGGGAAATGCAGGAGAATCAATCAAATACAAATGTAGTACCTCCTCATGGCCCTCCCTCGCTGTGACTTCCCTAATCAATCCTGACCCCAAAGGGCGGCTATCTAGGGCATGGATGGGGAAGGGCACATCAACAGGTACAATAGGAATCCCTAACTTATAGGTGAATTGGCGATCAATAAAATTCCCAGCAGCGCCTGAATCTACTAGCGCCTTATGCTGGGAGTAAGGAGAAACCTTGGGGAACACAACTTTAATAAACATATGCGCAACAGAGAGCTCTGGGTGAGTAGGGTGCCTACTCACCTGGAATGACTCATCAGTGCGCTGCCTACTGCTTCGATTCGTAGGAGACCCTCCCCAGCACCGACCAGCAGTGTGTCCTCTGCGGCCACAGTTGGTGCAGGGTACGGCCTCCCTCCTGGTCTCCCTAGCACCAGCACCTCCGAGCTCCATAGGGGTCGGCTCGGAAGTGCTGGGGGATGGAATGGACGGCCCTGAATCCGGACGTCCGCGGGTATCCAGGCGAATGGACATGTCCACCAGTTGGTCGAAGCTGAGGTTTGTGTCCCTGCAGGCCAATTCACGACGCACGTCCTCCCTCAGGCTACATCTGTAGTGGTCGATGAGGGCCCTCTCATTCCATCCCGCGTTGGCAGCCAGCATCCGGAAGTCCAGCGCGAACTCCTGTGCGCTCCTCCTCCCATGTCTAAGGTGGAATAGACGCTCACCTGCCGCTTTACCCTCGGTTGGATGATCGAATACTGCCCTGAAGCGGCAGGTGAACTCCGCATAGTTGACAGTAGCGGCGTCTATTCCCGCCCACTCGGCGTTGGCCCACTCCAGCGCCTTGCCGGACAGACAGGAGATGAGGGCGGACACGCTCTCGTATCCCGAGGGCACCGGGTGGATAGTTGCTAGGTAGAGTTCAACCTGGAGCAGGAAACCCTGACACCCGGCCGCTGTGCCATCATAAGCCCTCGGGAGCGAGAGCCGAATACCACTGGACCCCGGAGGTGAAGCGAAGGGCATCGCCGATGGTGGTGGTATCGTTGGAGGAGGCGTAGGCAGACCCCCTCTTTCCCATCGCTCAATAGTGCTCACCACCCGTACCATGGCGGTGCCGAGAGCCTGGATCATGGTCGCTTGGTGTTCGACGCGTTCCTGCATTGATCCAGCTGGCACCGCCGCTCCTGCTGACTCCATGAGTGGTGTGTGATTCTGTCAGGGCGAGGTGTATGCTGTGAGCGAAGTCAAGCGCAGGACACCGAGCTACTGGCAGACGAACTTTACTTGCGCAGTAAATCAAAATTACAAACAAAACCTCCAAACAGAGAGGAACAAAATACCCGAACACTGCCGACCTTACGGAAAACAATCACACACAAAAACTAATGAGAGACAGGGGGTTATAAAGGGAATACAATGTAACATAATGGGAAACAGGTGAAAACAATCAGGACAAACTCGACAAACACCGAAAGATAGATCGGTGGCAGCTAGTACTCTGTGGACGACGAACATCGAAGCCTGCCCGAGCAAGGAGGAGGGGCAGCCTCGGCCTATTCCGTGACATTATGATTATTATATTGAGCCCAAGTGCACAACGGCCACTTTGTCCGGAAAAGGCATGGATTTCTTTTAGAGGCATTAAGGCCACACAAGGGGGATGCCACCGGGAAATTCGAGGACTAGTAAGAATATGATTAAGTGCTTGTCAAATTGTGTGCAGCCTGCGCAAGAAACAAAGCAGACCTCATGCTTTTCATGCAACTCGAATCATCATTGGAGTTGAATCATGCAGCCTTAGAATGTATAAAAAATGAAAACATATAGCCTAACGTTTTAATCACAACTAAAGTTGCATAAATAACTCTAAATTAAGCATATAGGAGTACCTGTTTCTTTGTTAATGCTCAACAAAGAATAGCCACATGTGCACACTCCCTCAGATATCGTTTGGAGAAAATATCCTTTCTATTTTATTCAGCTATGTTCAATTGCATTATTTTTACTATAAAATAAAATAAAATAATGCCACAGAATTCTAAGCAAATCTTGTCTGCTAAATGAACGAGTGTAGCCCACAGCCATATGGCATAGCCAGATCAGGGCCTAACATAAGGACGACTCAAAATATGCTATTCTGTTCTTCTGAAATAGACTACATTTTCTTCATAACGTGTTTCTTTAGACCTGTCTAAAATAAATAATGGATTCATTGTGATGGTGTAGGCTATATTAAATGGATTTATTAGACTTTTTAAAATGTTAATGTTCCAAAGTAGCTTGTAGGCCATGCGTGGAAGCCAGGAGATGCTAAATGTGTTTATGTTAATTAATGGTCAATTATCGTGAGACTGCCAGTTATTTGCTTGACAATCACTGGCTGACAAAATGTATTGACAGCCCTAAGAGTGACAGAGTGAAAGTGAGTCATATCTAGGCTAGCTATTTAGTATTAGAAAAAACTGATGTCATGTAAAACATGGAACAGGGTGTTCAGACACCTCCCTCTGAGTGTGGGGGGCTGTGTTGGTCTCCTCTGTCTGGGGAACAGCTGCTGCAGTGCAGAGACCCTGGGCTCCTTTCATCCATCCCTCTATTCCCTTTTTTCATTTCAGAGCCACTAATACCTCAATCAAACTCTCTTTTGTTATTACAGTCTCCTACCCAATTAATCTGGCTGCTCAATTAAGCGTCGGCCTCATGCTCCTTATCACCGTGCCGAACGGCCGCCAGACCTCTGCTCGCTCGGACAGATTGCAGTGGAAACCTCGGGGTCAGAGTGATTCTTATCAATCCCAAGGAAATAAAATCCCTCCTGTCCCCACCCCCCACCCCATCTCTCTCTCTTGTCCATCTCTCTCTTCCCCTCTCCCTCAATATCTCTGGGGTCTTGGTGTTAATACCGCTGGACAACCAACTACACCCCCCCCCCCCTCGCATTGCTCTCCATCCCAATCCCCTTAATCTCTGCTAAGCGCCCCACTGCTCAGTTGTGATGCAGCCCGTCCTCCTCCTCCTCCTCCTCCTCCTCCTCCTCCTCCTCCTCCTCCTCCTCCTCTCCCCGACCCAGCCTTGGGCCCAATCTGGCTTCAGCCTTGGCTAAGTCATCCACATGCAGACTAGGCTTTATTCACACTATGGGAATTATTACTGTACTGACGTCTTCATCATCTTCCCGCATGATTAAACCAACCCCCCTCTCTTCTCTGATACAGCGAGGTCCTTCACACACCCAAACCCCCTGGGTTAACTCATACCCTATTCTGGCCTGATGTAGGGGCACCTAAAGGTCTGGAGAGAAAGGGGACAGGTGGGGATGAGGTGGGATGTGTGGAATGTGGAAGGTATGTGTTGAGTTGTTGTGCTAATTAAGCTAGCTGTTCATAAACACACATACAGACACACGTAGGTCACTCCATCAGCCGACCCAGGGCAGTGAGCGAGGGAAGGGGAGAGGGGGGAGAGGAGGATTATGGGACAGATCATCAATCATGTGTTAAGAGCGATCAGAACCTAATTCCACTCTTGTTTTTAAGGGATAACTCCTGCTACTAAGACCCCAGGACAACCCAAAAACACGATACATTACTAATCAGCAGAAGATTGTCATTTTTGCAAAAAGTCATCCGCTTCCCAGAAAACCAAATTAATCTGTGGCGATAGGAAGGGGCTCAAGGTTTACCAGACGACTGCTGTTCACATTCAGCAGGGTCAAGGGTTAAATTCACAATCACTTGATAATCTCAAATCTAATTCAAGAACCCTGGCTGCACAGTGTACTGTAGGCTTAACCTGCCAAACCAGACTGGGCTCTGACTGAAGTAGCTCACAGTAAGACTTCATGGTCTGTCGGAAAGACTGGCAGATAGAGGGGGAATGAGGGAGAGGACACAGAGGACGCACGCACATGCAGGACAGAGAGACAGACTCACATCTCTTTGACCATCATGGCGTCTTCCATACTTCCCTCAGCCAGCAGAGCCCAGATCAGAATGTCGTAGAGGGCCCAGGGTCACACTCTTTCTATTAACATCCTTCAGCATACCATAGGCCTCTGGACAGACAGACAGAGAGACGGAGACGGAGGGGGAGAGAGATAAGGAGAAATGGAGCAGGAGAGAAAGAGATTGATAGAGATCACCGCCAGGAAACTTTTAAAAAGCATTCAACAACCCACTATGTTAATGGGACAAATCAAACTCCTAATCAAACTCTAACCCAATCCATTATGCCAATGGGCAATCAAAATCCCATGAAAGTTTCATATTTCCTACATGTCTCAGTTGTCATGGGACTGTCTGTAGGCTAGATGACCCTCTATTAGGAGATGCTCAGGAATTCCTCTCCAATATTACCAATGGAAGTCTGGTAGCAATATAAACTCCCCAGAGCTGCGTACCTTTGGCCTTGCCCTTCTTGCAGAGGGTGAGCAGTCTGAACTGGTAGTCAGCAGGGCTGTTCTCTGCAGTAGCAGCTTGGGTGCTGGCTGACTTGGTGGCTTTTCTCTTTGACCCTGCAGGCTTGGTCTCTGCCTGTGCCTCTGTCTGCAGCCTGCTCATACCACACCTATGGAAAGGTAGAATACAACACACTGTTAATTACAACTATCCAAACACCCACTGGTAACAAAACACCCACTGGTAACAAACACCCACTGGTAACAAAAAACTCACTGGTAACAAAACACCCACTGGTAACAAACACCCACTGGTAACAAAACATCCACTGGTAACAAACACCCACTGGTAACAAAACATCCACTGGTAACAATATTCACATGGCCATACATAAACAACGGTACAAAACTATAGCGACGCAAGTGCAGTCACAAAAACCATCAAGTACTATGATGAAATTGGCTCTCATGAGGACCGCCACAGGAATGGAAAACCCAGAGTTACCTCTGCTGCAGAGGATAAGTTCATTTGAGTTACCAGCCTCAGAAATTGCAGCCCAAATAAATGCTTCACAGAGTTAAAGTAACAGATACATCTCAACATCAACTGTTCAGAGGAGACTGTGTGAATCAGGCCTTCATGGTCGAATGGCTGCAAAGAAACCACTACTAAAGTACACCAATTGTCACGACTTCCGCCAAGGCTGCCTCCCCTCCTTGTTCGGGCAGGCTTCGGCGTTCGTCGTCACCGGAGTACTAACCACTGCCGCCCCAATCATCATCACAATTGTCTTGTCAATCACACACACCTGGTTCTATTCCCCTAATTAGTCTGTGTATAAATGTTCCCTCTGCCCCCTTGTCCTTGTGGGTGATTGTTTGTTTTGGAGGTTAATGAAGCTCGATGGAACTCTTGTATTTGGTATCGACGGGAGTATTTTTCCTGTGTGCCTTGTATTTTCCAGTGCACCTGTTTTGTGCCCTGAAGTGTGTTTGACGCATTTCTGCATAAACCTGTATTTTTCGGATTAAAGCCTGTTTCTGTGATTTATCCTCCTGTGCCTGACTCCTTCAACACCACCTTATCACACCAATGAGAAGAAGAGACCTGCTTGGGCCAAGAAACATGAGCAATGGACATTAGACCGGTGGAAATGTGTCCTTTGGTCTGGAGTCCAAATTTGACATTTTTGGTTCCAACCGCCTTGTCTTTGTGAGACGCAGTGGGGGTGAACGGATGATCTCCGCATGTGTATTTTCCACCGTAAAGCATGGTGCTTTGCTGGTGACACTATCTGTGATTTATTTAGAATTCAAGGCACACTTAACCAGCATGGATACCAGAGCATTCTGCATTTGTTTTCCAACAGGACAATGACCCAACACACCTCCAGGCTGTGTAAGGGCTATTTTACCAAGAAGGAGAGTGATGGAGTGCTGCATCAGATTATCTGGCCTCCACAATCCCCCGACCTCAACCGAATTGAGATGGTTTGGGATGAGTCGGACCTCAGAGTGAAGGAAAAGCAGCCAACAAGTGCTCAGCATATGTGGGAACTCCTTCAAAACTGTTGGAAAAGCATTCCAGGTGAAGCTGGTTGAGAGAATGCCAAGAGTATGCAAAGCTGTTATCAAGGCAAAGGGTGGCTATTTGAAGAATCTAAAATAAAGAATATATTTGTTTAACACTTTTTGGTTACTACATGATTCCATATGTGTTATTTCATAGTTTTGATGTCTTTACTATTATTCTCCAAAGTAGAAAATAGTAAAAATAAAGAAAAACCCTGGAGTGAGTAGGTGTGTCCAAACTTTTGACTGGTACTGTACATCTAGAACTGGTTGTACGTGTGGCTTTAGGTCAGGTTCTCCCGGGTTTCTCCGAGATCTGTGAGTGATACTGGAAGTCCCTAAACATGGCCAGCTTCTGCTACAGCCAGCAACTGCCTGAGCAAGAGAAACGCAGACTGTTCCACAAGCACATGGAAATGAAGAGCAAGGTGGGGTTTCACAGCAGGAGGGAGTTTAACGAGCAGTGTGAGCTTAGGCAACCAGTGGGTTTTTACTGATGGAGGGACAGAGAAAAGTCATTCCGGGGGTGTTGGAGTTGGCTGCAGAGAGGGGCTTCCTGTGAATCTCTGATGTATTTAGTAGGGATAGTAGCAAGATAGGATAAGATTGGTCTGTACAATAAGTTTGACAACTGTAGGTTAGTCTATTTTATATCAATAATATATATATTTAATGTGAAATTTCACCTTAGCTCTGCCATGGTATATAGTAATTACTATATTAATAACATTTTGCCATAACCATCAAAAATCTCCTCACCACAAGCTAGAACGAGTGCATTTTCATTTCACCGGTCGAATCAGGAAGTTTCTATTTCATGTGTATTCGTCTGCTAGTGTACCACAAGGTCAGGCATTCATAGTGGGTGACGGGGACAAAGCAGGACGATCCGCCCCACACCGAGCTGTAGTCTTTCAGAGGCTGGAAGCAATGTGTCACCTTGTATATCTAGCAATGAATCTTCCGATAGGAACATCGCTGAAAGACGTCCAATGGCTATATCGAACAAGGACAACCATATCTATACAATCGTTGTCGTGTGATCAGTATGAAAGAGGCTTCATGAAAGGCCACAAAACAGGACTACATTCATTTTCAGATCTCGTCCACCCCAATAATACACCGGATGCGGTCAACGGGTGTATCGTTCGGCATGCAAAACCCAGAACCGCCTTCTTCGTGGCCAATTATGTGTAAAACACATCTCACTGACCTAGACATGATCAAAACAAACCCAGAGTCATATAATATGAAATGTCCATTTAAGTATAAAAATTGCGATTAATCTTTTTCGAGTGAGGTGTGTGTTTGTTTGTGAGTAGTATAGACAGGGCAGAGCCCCCCGATGTTCAGTCACCCGTTTAGCAACCGGGGGAGGGGGTTAAGCTGTGCTGGCCAGTGGTGAATTAGGCTAGGCATCGGGGCCAGGGAGGATAAAAGGGGGTGTGGGGGTTGACAACTCCAGGGCCCCTCAGGTCACAAGGGTCATCGCCAAGGGCTAAAGCCATCACGTTGAGTGTCATCTCGCTCCAGGCCTCCCCAACAAGCCAAACAAGCCAAACAAACATGGACACATCTGGAAGGAAGCTGGAAAATAATGTATTCCAATGGAGAAATAATGTATTCTGAATCAACTGCGAGGAAACTGGTGCAGTCAGGCAGAGGGAATGCTGGGTAATTTGGTCACATCGTTCCAGCAGCCTCTGCCAGAGTCCTCTAGTGACATGTGATGAAGTCCACTAAGCAGCAGACATATGGTGGTATTTAGCAGTGGCTGAATTAGTTAGCATTATGGGCTAGTATTAATTCCTGTCCCAACGTCAGATTTTCCCGCGATCATCCCAAAATCCAATTTCCCTTAGATGAAATCAAGGGATTTGTGGTTTCAGACTGTCTGTGGCCAGAGGTGTGGAGAATCAGACTACTTCAGGGATTTCAACCAACCAGGAGTCAACCAGAACAGAGGGGGCACCATGGCAACAGCCAAGGATAATGATACCAATAATCTCTGAGGTACTAAGAGGTAGCTTCCTGCTCATTAGCTTCCTGCTCATTATTCTCTGTGTAACAAACTGAACATTATCAGAGAGGATGAGATTTAATGAAGCAAACACTGATTTGGGGAAATCACTGATGGAATAAAAAGATAAGGAGAGCTGTGTTTACTAACGGTGGCAGAGTGGATTTCAGAAGGTTTTTACCTCAGACACCTCGAAGGGCACCTCCTGTCCATTACTCTCCAGAATGTCGGCCAGCATGCGCAGAGTCCTCTCTCTGGGGATCACCTTCTCCTCCTGCATCTTGGTTCAGGTGACCTCCACCTTGCGCCAGTCGTTTGTGTCCTCTGAGAGTGAGAAAGTGCACATACCAGGTGTCTCTTGAAAAATGGATTTTTATCTCAATGAGACTACCTGGATTAATAAAAGTTAAATAAAAAATAAAAAACACCTGTCTACAAACACAAACGTGTATACGCATGCACGCACACCACACACTAAGATTCCTTGTTCCTGCTGCTTCACGCTGAGAGAGAGCAATCAAGGCAGAAGAGGCCTCATCTTGTCATCATCCTCAGTCAGACGCTTAACACCGGGCTGGATTAAAGCAGCAGATCACAGATGTGATCTCAGCCTTTGACTGACTCTGGCTGAATTGGCCAAACAGTTCCAAAAAGATCAATCTTCCAATCACGAGCTGTAATCTAAGCATACACCATCTGTGGTTACTGGGATTCTGACCCCATTCTCTCTTACACACAAACAGTCCCGGGGTGACACCGCTGTTCACGCCACATTACTGCTGCCAGGGATTAGGGTGGCAAAGGTCATATGGGAAGAGGAGATGGAGGTAAGTAGTAGTGGCTTTGGGGATCGTTGGGGGGCTTAATATACCCAGTCAGGGGTAAAGTGAGGTACATCAACTTCCCCCGTTGGAGAATGTGGATCAACAATATTATCTGTTATCCAGAGTCTAGATATAGCCATGGTGAGATATAGGAAAGACAGACCAGTTGGAGAAGGTTGATTGAGGGGTCTAACTGTAGAGCCGGACCACATAGTGAAACAACTCATCTCAGTCATATTCAAACAGCTTGGCTTTCATCTCCAGTATGTTCTCCAAAGACTCCATCTGTGTGTGTGTGTGTCAGTCACCTGGTTGCTGTTAATGCATTTCTCAGCGTACCACTGAAGGCGTCCTGGTCTAGCCCTTAAACCTGGAGTCTGTAGGAACAACAGAAAATACTTCTTCAAATAAATACAGTGTGGTTCATGTTGAATCAACTACTGGCTGAAACCCTGTACCGTGTGCAATACAGAAAGCTTTATATGGCTCAAAACATATTTTGAAGCCATAAATTCATGTAGTTTCCCAGAACTGATGATCTCAACTCTAGAACTATCCCTATCACTATCCAACAGACTCAAAATGACCATCAACAGAAACACAATGAGAAGATACAAGATGAAGGGTGTATATGAATAATATCAGCCACAATGAAAAGATACAAGATGAAGGGTGTATATGAATAATATCAGCCACAATGAGAAGATACAAGATGAAGGGTGTACATGAATAATATCAGCCATATATGAATGGCTCTGGATAATACTGTAGCATGATGCCCTTAGGACACACACACTGGGAGGGTAGCATAAGCACCCTGTATTTCTGGAGTGATATGGGCTCATATGGGCTAGGGAGGGTGGGGTGGATGGGGTTGGAGATGCGATAGCAGTGATCAGGATTTCATCTGTGCTTCAGTCAATCAGAGTGAGATCGTCCGTTGGTTCTTCCACTCTGCCCTGACATGATATAATCTGTCTATGCTACAGGACAACATCATACAATGTCTATTGGATAAAAAAAGACTACACATTACGGTCTTATACAACCTGCCAAAGGACAAATTAAAATGTGTTCTGTTCTCCGCCGCTGCGTCTAATCGGCTTAGACAGAGTGCAAGTGGTACATATTTTTTCTACTCCGAAATAATCCCCCCCCCCCCACTCCGGCCAGGGATCTAAGCCTCCGAGGCCAACTCTTCTCAGGCATAAATCCATGGTGATAAGTCCCTCTTCCTCCCACACATGCACGCAGACACAGCTTCACACACACCCTGTTACACACACACACAGACACACACATGCACGCAGACACAGCTTCACACACCCCCTGTTACACACACACACAGACACACACATGCACGCAGACACAGCTTCACACACCCCCTGTTACACACACACACAGACGCACACATGCACGCAGACACAGCTTCACACACACCCTGTTACACACACAAAGCTTCACACTATACTTTTCACTTCCAGCTCATATCCCCAAAAGGACATCTAGGTCAGATTATTAAGACTATCTCCTGCCTGCTGCTTTGTGGTTTATGAAACTCAGCCCCTTTTGACTCAGCCCCTTTGACTATGCAGTCTGGACCAGAGTGCCACAAGAAGCTCACATCTCACTCACACACACACACTAGTCTCTGTTGCACAAACTCACATAGGCTTCCTATACCATTACCCATCCTCATGTAAGGTCACACAACCCTCATATATTATGCTCAACAATAATCTAAATTCCTCGTATTTGACACTTTTAATTTATACTCCCCCACTCATACACAACCCACCTTACCTGACACACACAGAAACACACACCTAATGGTGCCCACCCCTTTACAAAACCACCTAACCTTAACCATAACCAAAGAGTGACATCAATTTCTATTGCATTTAATTTAATTACCTGCAATTAATCACCTCGCAATTATACAAAACAGAGTCAGCGGATAGCCTCTCTGTTCTGACAGGCTCCACCCTGATAGATTATACAAAACAGTGGATAGCTACTGAGGATGGTAGCTGACTCTATAGCCACTCCTATCTGTCATATCTTTAATCTGAGCCTAGAGGAAAGTCTTTGTCCTCAGGCCTTGAAGGAAGTCAAAGTAATTCCGCTACCCAAGAATGGTAAAGCGGCCTTTACTGGTTCTATCAGCAGACCTATAAGCTTGATGCCAGCTCTTAGCAAACTGTTGGAAAAAATTGTGTTTGACCAAATACAATGCTATTTCTCTGTAAACAAATTAACAACAGACTTTCAGCATGCGTATAGAGAAGGGCACTCAACATGTACTGCACTGACACAAATGACTGATGATTGGTTGAAAGAAATTGATAATAAGAAGATTGTGGGAGCTGTACTGTTAGATTTCAGTGCAGCCTTTGATATTATTGACCATAACCTGTTGTTGAAAAAACGGATGTGTTATGGCTTTTCAACCTCTGCCATATCGTGGATTCAGAGCTATCTAATAGAACTCAGAGGGTTTTATTTAATGGAAGCTTATCTAATGTCAAACATGTAAAGTGTGGTGTACCACAGGGCAGCTCTCCAGGCCCTCTACTCTTTTCTATTTTTAGCAATGACCTGCCACTGGCATTAAACAAAGCATGTGTGTCCATGTATGCTGATGATTCAACCATATACGCATCAGCAACCACAGCTAATGAAGTCACTGAAACCCTTAACAAAGAGTTGCAGTCTGTTTTGGAATGGGTGGCCACTAATAAACTGGTCCTGAACATCTCTAAAACTAAGAGCATTGTATTTGGTACAAATCATTCCCTAAGTTCTAGACCTCAGCTGAATCTGGTAATGAATGGTGTGGCTGTTGAACAAGTTGAGGAGACTAAATTACTTGGCGTTACCTTAGATTGTAAACTATCACGGTCAAAACATATAGATTCAATGGTTGTAAAGATGGTGAGATGTCTGTCAGTAATAAAGAGATGCTCTATTTTTTTGACACCACACTCCAAAAAGCAAGTTCGGCAGGCTGTAGTTTTGTCTAATCTTGATTATTGTCCAGTCGTGTGGTCCAGTGCTGCAAGGAAAGACCTAGTTAAGCTGCAGCTGGCCGAAAACAGAGCGGCACGTCTTGCTCTTCATTGTAATCAGAGGGCTGATATAAATACTATGCATGCCAGTCTCTCTTGGCTAAGAGTTGAGGAGAGACTGACTGCATCACTTCTTCTTTTTATAAGAAACATGAATGTGTTGAAAATCCCAAATTGTTTGCATAGTCAATTTACACAGCTCTGACACACATACTTACCCCACCAGATATGCCACCAGGGGTCTTTTCACAGTCCCCAAATCCAGATCAAATTCAAGAAAGTGTACAGTATTATATAGAGCCATTATTGCATGGAACTCTGTTCCATCTCATATTGCTCAAATAAACAGTAAACCTGGTTTTAAAAAACAGATAAAGCAACACCACATGGCTTAACGCCTCTCCCCTATTTGACCTAGATAGTTTGTGTGTATCTATTGATATGTAGGCTACGTGATCCTTTAAAAAAAGCAAAAGGTAGTTCTGTCCTTGAGCTGTTCTTGTCTATTAATATTCTGTATTATGTAATGTTTCATGTTTTGTGTGGACCCCAGGAAGAGTAGCTGCTGCTTTTGCAACAGCTAATGGGGATCCTAATAAAATACCAAATACCAAACATTCAGTAGATAGCCTCTCTGTTCTGACAGGCTCCACCCTGATAGATCCGTCTGACCTCCCAGATATTATTTTAATTAGTGGGCAGAGTTAGGGGGCAGAGTTCACATGGAGACATTCGTCGGACCTCCCAGATATCATTTGAATTAGTGGGCAGAGTTAGGGGGCAGAGTTCACGTGGAGAGATCCGTCTGACCTCCCAGATATCATTTGAATTAGTGGGCAGAGTTAGGGGGCAGAGTTCACGTGGAGAGATCCGTCGGACCTCACAGATATTATTTGAATTAGCGGGCAGAGTTAGGGGGCAGAGCTCACATGGAGAGATCTGTCTGAACTCCCAGATATCATTTGAATGATTGGGCAGAGTTAGGGGAAAGAGTTCACATGGAGACATCCGTCTGACCTCCCAGATTTCATTTGAATTAGTGGGCAGAGTTAGGGGGCACATGGAGAGGATATCTGGCTGGGGGAACGAGAGTGGTTTTTGTTTCTGGCCTACCAGGCTTACATGAGCAGACCACTTCTCTCGTATTTATGCAGACATACCAGGTAAACACTTCCTCTACATTTAGCCTCAATATCGAAACATGACTAAAACACTATACGATACACAACTGCATAAAGAGTCAAGTGTACAATACACCAGACAGAGAACCACCTATATGCCTAAATCAAACTGGCCACATTTAAAACAGAGTATCACAAACTTCCAGAATGTCATTGTGACTCCAGAAGGGCATTTCAGGTCAAACCAAAAACCCAAAGGAGGGATTG